TAACTTTTTTAATTAGAATTAAAGATATTTTATAAAGCTAATCTTAAAATAATATTTATATTAATAAACCTCTTTTTTTACAAAAGCGACCCTCTTTATAAAAACGACTATTAATTAATTACGGCTTTTTATTATTATCTAATTAACCGTTATTATCTCCCTTTTTAAAAAATAACCGCCCGAGCGTTAACTAATTTTATAAAATTAGTAATTTTTAAAAATAATATAATTTTATTATTAAACTCCTAATCGGTATATTATAAAATACGTAACTTTTTATAAATAATTATTTTAATATAAAACCTATATTATATTTTACTTATTATTTTTTAAAAAAAATAATAAAAACCTAACGGACTATTTTTTTACGATTTTTTTTAAAATATAGCCCCTTTTTTCTTAACGAATAATCTTAATAACCTTCCTATCTTATAATAAAATAATTTAATAATACTTTTTAATTTATTTTATAAGTTATTAAAATTAATTAATAGCTAATAATAATACTCTTCCGATAATAAAAATATATCCGTTAATAATAAAAAACATAAAGTTTTTAAATTAACTTATTACTTTATTTACTTTTATATTAATCCTCCTTTTAAAACAAGGCGTTTTTTTAAATTATAACTTTTTATTATATTTTAAATAACCGATCCTTTTCTTTTTTTATAATTAAAATCTTAAACTTATTGATTTTTAACGATTTAAAATAAACTTATAATACCCTTTTCGATTAAGTTAATACTTTTATAAAAGTTAATAAATTTAATATTATAAAATAAAATAAATTTAAAATTTAAAATTAAATTATTTAATATACTTTTTAATATAATCGGTTTAATAAGCCTAGGCTTATATAAAATATTAATATTTAATAATATAAGTTTTATAAATACGATTATAAATAATAAATTATTACCGAAATTTAAGAGGAAAATAAATAGCTTTTACGTTATTATTTAGACTTTTAATATAATTAATATAATTATAGCCTTAATTTTAAAGCTTTTATATACCTTTTAGATTATAAGCTTATTTAAATAATTTAAAATACTATTAAAATTATAAGCCGACGAGTTAAGATTTAAGTTTACGATATATATATTATTATTTAAAAATAGTTTTTAAAATCCTTATTTCTTTAGTAAAATATTTATAACGCTCAGGTTTATATAAATTAAAAAAAATTAATTCAATATTTATTAACTATAGTGTTAATTAAATTATTTAATAAGTAAAACATTTTATATATAATAAAATAAGTAAACGATAAGCTAAACCGCCTTATTAACCTTATCTAAACTTTTCTTTATTATTTTTAAACATAGAAGCGATTCTTTAAAGTAATTAGCTTTAATAATATTTATAATACTAATCGCTTTGAGCTCTTTCTTTTCTAAATTATTAAGTAAACCTACCTTAAATCTATTTATAACGCTATATTTAACCTTATTAATAATAAATAATTAAAAGGTTTTTAATTTCTCTTAATAAACATCCGCTAATTTAAAAATTAATATTTAATCCGTTACCCTACTATTATTATTATAAATTATAATAAATAAATAAAAGCTATATTAAATAAATAGTTCCTAAACGTTTAATAATAACTTTATATCTACTATATTAATTCTAACGTTATACTTAGGGCTAAATAAAAATAAATTAAAAAATATAGCTATAATAATAATAATAATAAGTCTAATAATAAAGGACATTAACTATTAATATAAATAATAATTACGCTAAATAATAAAAATAAAGCCTATATTAATATACTTATTAATAAGCCCCTCTTTTATATATATTATAAAATCTTTATAATATAAAAGCTTATTATTTTTATTAAAACTAAATATATTTTTAAAAAAGCCTAGACTAAGCTTTATAAAAAGTTTAATAACTAACGCTTAATCTTTTAATATTTTTATATAATATACCTTATTTTAAAAACATAATAAGCCCGCTATTTTATTTAAAAATATTAAAACTTTAATATTTATATTATTTTTAATATTAAATTATATAATAATAATATCAAAAATTATTTTTTAAACGGTTTTAATTATTAATATCGACTTATTAATATTATATAAAATATAATTAATAATTAAAAAATACGTTTTAAATAAGCCTATATTAAAAATAAAATACTTATAAGCTAGGAGTATATAAATACTTATTTTAAATACTTAAGTAAACTTTTAATAATACTTTCCTTAAAATATTTTATATTAATTAAGAAATAATACTGATTAATAAAAAAAATAATACCGTTTAATAAAAAGCTATTTATAGCCCTTTTTAAAAACTATAATCTAAACTATACTATTTTAATTAAATTAAATATTTTATATTATTATAAGATCTATTTTAAAATAATAAATTTAATTATTTTTAATAAATAAAAGGTATACCCTCAGTAGCGTTTTTAAGAAACGTTTTCCTTAGATTTATACCGGCGGATCCTTAACTTTAAAATTATTATATCCTTCCGTAATAAGTTAAAAAATATAATATAGCTTATTTTATTATAATTAGCTTTATTTAAAAAAAGCTAATTAACTAGTTAAGCCCGTATTATTTATAATAACTAAAACGTAAATAATAAATAGTAAGGTCGCTTATTTAAAAATAAAAATAAGTCGATACTAGCTAAGCTTATATAAAAAATAAGTTAATTAAATTAAAACTAAATATTAAGCTTATTTTAATAATAAATAAAAAAGTAGTTTAACGTTTTTAATAAAAGGAGGATAATAAAAAATTATATAAATAAATAACTAATAAAATTTAATATTTAAAAAAAATAAAATTAATAAAAAATAATTTATAATAATAATAAATCTTTATAAATACGTTATAAAAAGTAATTAAATAATAAGCCTTTTTAAAAGTTATATAATTCCTATTTAAAATTTATAATATTATAATAAAAATAAGTTATAATACGTATTTTTAAAAATTTTAAATAAAAGCTTAAGTTAAAAAAAAAATAAAAATAGCTATATTAATATAATTACCTTTACCGCTTTTATAAAGAAAGTTTTTTTTTTTAAACTAATTAAAAAATCGAATAGTAACGCTAATATAAAAACGACGCCGGTATATTAATTTACGACGCCGGTATATTAATTCTTTTTAAAAAATAATATTAAAAAAAGATTATATTTTATATAATAATAACTAAAATATATTACAATATTTTAAAACTAAAATTAATAATAATTTCTTAAAAATTAATATATAAAGAATTTTTTTTAATTTATAAATATTTATTTTAATAATTATAAATAGGATTTTTATATTATATAATATTAATTATATTAACCGTTATTATATTTTAAACTTTTATTATTTTTAAAAACTATTATATAATTATTTAAAACTATTTTTTTAAAAAAGCTATTTTAAAAATTAAAAAATAATATAAAATTTTTTAGTTAATTATTTAATTTAATACTTTAATATTAAAAGTTCTTAAATAAAAAATATTTTATATATAAAAAATTAAAATATTAAATTTAAAACTATTTTATAAAAAAATATAATTAAATTAAAAAATAATTTTTTTAAACTTATTTATAAATATAATAAAGTTAATATAACTAGTTTAAAATATACTTATTAAAATATAAAAATTAATTAAAAAATATTTTATATAATAAAGAAAAGAAATAATAACGAATTTATTTTAATATATTTTAAAATATTAATATTTTTATATTATATAATAAAATAAAATATATTTATTATTTTTAAAACTATTAATACTTAACTATTTTTATTATATAATATATTTTTTATAACGTATTAAAAAGAATTATAAAATATAAAAATAATTAAGTTTTAATAAAAAAAAACCTAAGTTTTAAATATATTTAAAAAAGTACCTTTATATAAAAATTAATTAAAATTTAAAATTTATAAATATATAATTTAATATAATTAAAAATATACTATTTATAAAATTAATTAAAATTAAAACCTTATCGAACGAATTACTTATTAAATTTTAAATATTTTAATATTTTTTTTATTTTTATTATAAAATATAAGCTATTTAAAAACGTATTTTAATAATATAAATAATATTATTATATAATAAAACGATACGATAATCTTAATTTTAAAAAAAAATAAAAATATTTATTTTTTAATTTTTATTATATAGAAATAGAGATATTTTTTATAAAAAGTTAGTTTTAAAGATTATATTAACGTTTTAAATACTTTTATATAGATTAATTATACCGATTTTTAAAAAATATTAAATATAATAATATAAATAAATTAATCTTTTAAAAAATTTAAACTTTTTGTTATTATTATTAATTATATAACTTAGCGTTAAAAAGATTTAAGTTTTTTTTAAAAAATAATTATTATTTTAATTATGGGATTATTATAAATATCGTACGATTAAAAAATAAAAATATCTTATATATTATTGATATTAAAATTAACTTTTAAAAAATATTATTTTAAAATTACTTTCCGTATAAAATATTTAAAATATATTATATAAATACTAAATTTATATATATAAAAAACTATTAAACTATATTTTATATAATTTTAAAATAAACTTTATATTAATAAAATTTAGGGTATAAATAAAAATTATAAATATATTATATAAAAAAATACTAATTAAAATATATTAAATAATTAAAAAAGTAAAAAAAATATATATACCCTTATAATAAACGTACGAAATTTTATTTTAAGAATTTAATTATAATACGGATAAAAAAACGATTTTTTAAATAGTAATTAATATTTTAAACGATATTACTCCTAAAAGCGAGAAGTCGCTGCGAGGGCCGCCCAATCCGGTGGGAAGTGCCGCCGTTTTATGCGGCACAAGCAGTAAGAGAGAACCGGGCCATGGGCGGACACTGCCAGGTATTAAATACTTCGTCCTGCTGCCTACAACGCCCGCAGCCTGGTCATGGCAGGCGCCCCACCCTGCTATTTTGGTCCAAGCGCCTACCATGTCCTTCTACCCTGCCCGTTGGTCATGCCAGCACCGGTTTGCTGTTGCCAACTCCCTCGTTTTCTGGCATCCGTTGGAGCGGTTTCTGGCTGCTCAGGCTGCTCAGGTTCTGCTTGACGAAATGGCGCCGCCCGACATAAAGAGCGGCATCGTGCCTGCCGTCTTCTGTCGTCTTCTTTCGCCTCAGCACACGCTCACGACCCCTCTTCTGCCGCTGCGACGAGCGACCATCTCCCAGCCATGGCCCAGCGGATGCTCCCCGATTGTCGCCCTCGACAAACAAAAGCAACCGTAGAGTTTTTGAAGCGGTTTACCGACCAAGAAGCACAACGTCGGATCGCGAACCAGCCGAAGCC